CAATACCTATTTCATACTATGGGAAACTTAATGATTGGTATTTTTAGTCTTAACTGAGTATTTGATGTGTCATGTATTAACTGGTGTATATTGATCCTACTAATTTTTCAGTAATATTTTCCTGTTTCTCCTATGTCTTTTTCAGGAGAAAAGAAGAAATGAAAGCCTTATTGTTGGTAGCTATTTAGAGGGCCCTTCCACAAGAGCGGAATATTAAAAATAAATAAATTATTGAAACTAAAGAGATCTTAGTTATCAAAGTTGGCACAGTTAAGCAATGTCTATACTAATGAATTAAACTTGGTACAGGAATACTGCATCTTATGAGACTTAGCTGGAATAATCCTCGTTTATGCTTGTGTTGTGTATTCTACCTATTGGGAACAGCTCCTGGAAGGCTCTAACTTCTAAGTAACAGTCAAGTTATGTGAATGAACAGTAGTATTCCAGTAGATGAGAGTTTGCTAGACATTTAATTTATTAGTCTAGATGCATAGCCATATTGTTTAATGCTATTTCTGAATGATGTATTTGATGTATCACTCATTTAAGGACAGGTATTTTCATTGATTAATCAAACATAGCCACAGCAAACTTCAATTTACTCACTGCACTGTGTTTGGCTGCTGCACTGTAACTGTATAAAAAGCTAATCATTTATATGTAAGTCTTGTTGTCATACGCTTATTACGGTGTCTTAGGCTGGAGTGTAAACGTACAGTTGAACTGTGTTACATTTTCTCACTTTGCAGATGCTCCCGTGGCACAGAATAACACAATATTCTCTTGCCTTGACCTTAGGCAAAAGATAAGCATGCACACTGAGCGATAGTGCAATGCAAAATCATATCCTGGCACATACTTCTGAGAAGCTACATATGTTTAATTGTGTGAAAACCCACATCGTGACAAATCTACTATCCAAAATCTGTAGTCTGAACAAATGCATGCTATTGTTTTCAGCACATCATCTGTTTCATAAGAGAAGGAGTAAGGAAATTTCAGGAAAAGCTATTTTTGTAGAATGTGAAAAATATGTTAATGCATTGATAACATTTATCCATTGAAGTCAGCAACTCTGTCTCTACAGTATTCACTCCTATATAACTGATGGACCATTCTTTCACTAGTTCTAATCCTTAGTAATAATAATCATCTAGAGTCAAGTAAAGTTGAAACCTAAATGTTATTGGAAGGATACCATCATTATTTTCCTGATTGAGTAGCACTTAGCGTGTCAGAGACACACAGCAGCCAGTGACTGTAATGGGGCTCTGCCTGAGCCGTGTGGGGAAGAAGGGACAGAACACAATTGCCCAAAGAGCTGCTATATAATCAAGATGTTATAATTACAATATAATTGTATAACCAATAGATATCAAGATGTTATAATTACAATATAATCAAGAGTATTAGGCAAAGTAAACAATGATCACAAAAGAGAATTAGTAGAAAAGCTTACCCTTCTGCAGAGCTCACCAGAAGACACCAAGAGGAGTGATCTCCAGAAGAGATCCTTCCCGTCTGGTAGCCAGCTCTTAAATAGGTCTAGGAATTGCCTTCACCTGTGCTTCTCTGGCTGACTCATGGCTCGCCTCAGGTGATCAATCAGAGGTTCAGGCCGTGACTCAGCAGTTCCCATACAGCTGCCTTGCTGTAGCATCTCAGGAGAAAGAGAAGAGGTAAGTCTGAGGCAGACTGAAGTTACTTTATGAAAACATTCCTATGTGAGCTTTAGCAAATGAACTTTATTTCTGAATTTGAGAGCCTGTTCTTCAAGACAAAATTGTTAGCATGTTTGAACCTCATATTTTTCTAGAAGATGTATATTTTTGAGAGCGTACAATGTGGAAGTCCCACAGTAGTGAAGCTATACTGAGAAGTGTACATATGGAATTAATTACAGATTATGTCTGCAAATCGTACCAAGCCAGTTATTTTTCCAGTAACAGTAAAGCAGAATGCAGTACCAGATTTCAGTTTGAGTTATCAATTGATGTTCTATGCAAATAAAAACATGCAAGTATTTTTTTTACAGAGCCTGCATTTACTTCATGAGTAAATCTTTTACTTCAATACTTCATTTACTTTATTTCAGTGAAATAACAAGGTCTCTGTGGCTGAAAGTTAGCCACTTTTTCTATTTTCCCAATGCAGAAAGCTGTTTGTTTGTGTTCAGTTATGAGTTTAACAATGACAATAATTATATGAGCTGTATCTGCAGCAGTACTACTTAGGATGGGAGGGTTGTGCTATAGCTGCCTCATGTATTATTTTTTTAAATATACATTTTATGTGATTGTGGGTTTTATTTCCATTAAATAGAAGTTTATTACATGCTTAAATGCCTTCCTAGATATTAGATCAAGGATGCACTAGACAACAAACTGAATGTGGAAGAAATAAGACAATATTATTCTATTTTTCAGGAATAAGCAATATAAACCATGTTTGTATTGCTTTTTATTAGATATTTGCAGTCTTATAGGTGAATGACTCCACTTTTGGAGATGTTTTCGTAGTGGCTGTATTTTATCTGATCTTTTACAGAACTTCTTACTAGAAGTTTAATGTACTAGCTGTTATTTTGTGTTCACTTTTTGTTATTGCATCGTTCAATATGTTTGTATAAAATGCCCTCTTGGGTGACCAGTTCTGTGGGAGGGATGCTGAATACTTAGGCAGTAAAGTACCTATGAACTTGCAATTAATTGTGTAAATGAAGCCTGTGCAACATACGGCCTGGCACATGCACTCACCCAGCCGTTTGCTTGGCTCATCGCACTGCGATTTCATTGTGTTTTGATCAGCAGAGACTGTCGTTACATACGGATGAGGTGGGTGACAGTAGCAGCTTGCTGCAAAACGCTGGGGATGCGTTATGAAAAAGCAAGTTTAAGCATTAAGACAGCAGAAAAGTTTGTGCATAAAGACTTGTGGGTCCTGGTGGACAAGAAGCTGGATATGAACCAGCAGTGTGCACTTGCAGCCCAGAAGGCCAACTGTGTTCTGGGCTGCATTAAAAAAGGGGTGGCCAGCAGGGAGAGGGAGGTGACTGTCCCCCTCTGCTCAGCTCTTATGAGGCCCCATCTGCAGTACTTTGGGCTCCCCCGCACAAGAAGGACATGGCGCCCTTGGAGCAGGTGCAGAGGAGAGCCCCTAAGATGATCAGAGGGCTGGAGCATCTCTCTTATGAAGAAAGGTCGAGGGAACTGGGTTTAGCTTGGAGAAGAGAAGGCTCTGGGGGGGACCTCACTGTGGCCTTCCAGTACTTGAAGGGAGCATAAAAACAGGAGGGGGAACGGCTGTTTACAAGGGTGAATAGTGATAAGACAAGGGGGAATGGTTTTAAACTGAGACAGGAGAGGTTTAGGTTAGATATTAGGTGGAAGTTTTTCACACGGAGGGTGGTGACGCACTGGAACAGGTTGCCCAAGGAGGTTGTGGATGCCCCATCCCTGGAGGCATTCAAGGCCAGGATGGATGTGGCTCTGGGCAGCCTGGTCTGCTGGTTGGCGACCCCGCACACAGGAGGGGTGTTCAAATTAGATGATCATCGTGGTCCTTTTCAACCCAGGCCATTCTATGATTCTATGCTTCTGTGATTGTGCTGTGTCTCTAATTTGGAAATGAGGCGAGTGTTACTTGGAAAGCTTGAGTCGTTTGGCAGGGGGCCAACAGAGGTTAAGGGTGTATGGAGGGAGACTCATGCTTGGGTGTAAGAAATATTGATTTAAAGAAGGCAGGGATGTGGAAATCAGACATGCAGTACACAGTAACTATGGTTTGATGGTTCTTATATCGGTTTGATTGGTAAACCCATTTTAGATTAGTTTATTCATACTTTTTTCCAGTGTACAAAATTGTACAAAAGATGAGAAATAATTACCTTTATTTGCAGGAGATATGTCAGAGAATAGAGAAATTTTTTTCAATATGAGAGTAAAAAGCTTACTACTTAATCTGGCTTTGGAATCTCGTTCAGTGTTATTTTAAAACACAGATTACACAGGATACCCCTACTGCCACTACAGTGAAAAGAAGGTTGTGATAGAGCGTCTCCAGCTCCCAAATAATGCAACAGAAAGCTAGCTCTACTTAGGAATAATTTGCAAGTGGAAAAAAAAAATGGAGAAATCACCTCAAAAATTCTGAAATAATAAATGCAGCCTTTTCCAACATTGCTTTACAGATTTGAAGACAGTAAAAATTCATTTTCCCACTTCTCATATGTCCTTTTCAGACAGAACTCATGAAATCAGAACTCCCAGGAGAGGCTTATTCTGGCTGTCACAAATGCTTATTATTATCTGTCCTAGAGCAGCCTGATAATTTAAACGTGTTTCAGTATTGATCATGCTGAGTAATTTGTGCTCTGATTGTTCAGTTTCGTACATACATACATTTCCTGAAGCATTCTATTTTAAGCCATACCCTGCAAAAGGTAATAACTGTGTCCATTTTCTCACACAGTGATGATTGCTGTTACCTAGATAGAATCTGATGACAGGATTTATTCAGAGGTTATAGTGTAACCGTAGAATAAATCCAGATCTACAGAACTTTGATAAGAACTGCTAAGTATTGCTGAATTTCCTTATAACAGGTGTGTGTGTGGTAAAATAGACACACTGAAAGAAAGTGACTGTTATATTCTCATTATTGTCTCAGTGCAGACTGTTTGTTAACATTGCTCGCAACAGCAAATGAGCAAAAATTCAGAAGTGGAGATAGGAAATATATCTACTGTGCAATTAAGGGATCAGCAGCTTTTTTGCATAACTTACAAGCTTTAGTACTGACTTGTTTCGTGCAAATTGTGACAAGTAGTTTACATAGATTTACTAGAACTTGCTTTAAATTAGCAAAACCTATCTGGAAGCAAGAAACAAAAGAGATTTGACAGTTTTCAAACATACATAGATGAGTTTTATATGCTAATTCTGATGAAACTTTGTATGGGAACTGTTGATCATGGCCTGAACCTCTGATTGATCAGCTGTGGGAGCACAGGTGAAGGCAGTTCTGCTGTGTAATTAGAAGGGCTGGAGCCTGGCTGCACCTCTCCTAGATCCCCTTTAAGTGCTGACTGGCACAGAGTACAGTTTTCTTTCTGTAGATTACTCCTTGTGGAGTTTATTGTGAGCCTGCAAGATTGGTGAGCATTTTTCACTTATTATCTTTCTGCTGTGGTAATCCTACTTAGCCTAACTTCTGTAAGCTTGCTGAATGTACAGACTGGATATCAGCAGCACTATGAATTCTTGTGCCTTTAAGCACTTGCTGCTAGTATAGGATGCCCCTGAGGAGTGAAATCCTGGCACTCATTACATTCAGTGTGCTTCCAATTACTGATTTCAGTAAGGCCAGAATTTAACTTTTTCTTCCTTTTGGTTGGCTTCTTTCAGCTAAAATCTTTGGTTTGCCTATGTTGTTCAATTCAGTTGGAATGGAATTAAATATGGGAAAGAGATGATTAAACATTTTGCAGGAAGAGATTAAGTGGTTGACTCTTCATAATAGGTGATTGATTTAGATGCTAAAATGACCCACCAGCACCTGTCTTGAAATAGTGTATTTGTCATTTAATGGAAGCAAGGCTCAGAACTCATTGTTCAGGCCATTACAATTTCATTTGCATCTGCTTCTGTTTTCTACTCTCATTCTACTTGAACGTGCTAGAAACACTCATTAATAGCCAGTGTGTTTTCCTCTCTGTAATGGTTAAGCCTGTTAATGAAACTATAAACAATATTGTATGTGAGACATACAATACATACTTTCAGATTGTATATGAAGCAGGGTGAGAAAGTACTGAAGGATCCAGGGTGTTACTGACAATTTTTTGTCTTTATTTAGCCAATCAGTAGCAGGTGTGCTCACTGCTGGTCCACCACCTTGCTCCAGTTAACCTGTTATCACCCTCTTTTCCACTTTTTGTTGGACACTTTTTCTTTTTGCAATACAAAGGGTGTTTTGAATAAGAAGAAAAAGAAGAATGTTTGCTAGGTTTGTGCTATCAAAAGTACTTCCAGGAAAGGAACATAATTCCTGAAATCTGTGGCTGGTGGGGAACCATTTTGCACAGCTGTAGCTTAATAAATGAAATGCCAAGGCTAATTTTAGTGAACTACTTTGCAAGTATCAGGTATATCTAGCAGCAGGTTATTTTTACCTCTGTTTTAAACTAAAAGGAAAAAATATTCTGAAGGGACCTTTAATTTAAAATTTAAAGCAAGCTGACTATTGCATTTTGTAGCTCCCACCAGCAGAAAAACTGAAAGCTGAACAGTATTCTATGGGGCTGCTGGATCACAGCCTGAACCTCTGATTAATCAGCTGAGGAGAGCACTGAGTCAGCCACAGGAGCACAGGTGAAGGCTATTTATTTGCTCCACCCCTCCTAGCCCCATTTAAGAGCTGACTGCCGGTGGGGAAGGATCTCTTCTGGAGAGCTACTGCACTGGAGTTTGTTATGTGAGCCCAGAATAGGGTGAGTATTCTCTTTTTCTTATTCTAGTGTCGTAATTACATCACGCACACTCCTGGATATACTGTATCATCTGTATATTCATTGATTGTATAAGTATAAATTAGGTAGGTAAATGCAGAGATACATAAGTCACACTGAAAACTTTCTGCATTTCACATGCTCTGATTAACATAGTTGTGGAATATACGTAGATTGTCATGAACTTACTAAGGAGATTGCTTCCTGGCCACTTGTTAATTTTTTTTTTTAAGTTGACTGTAGGACCTGGACTTTGACTGTCTTTATAAATCGTATTCAACAGCTGATATTGCCAGGGAGGATATTGTATCTCAGTTATTGCACTCCAGCTGAAGGAAATACCTCAGATCTCTAGGAAAATGTGCAGTGTGGTGGTATAGAGTACTACTTGCTGTACAGAACTGCAGGAGCTGCCATGAGAAGGTGCAGTTACGTAGTCAGTAGAACCCTAAAGGTTATGCTTTACTCCACTTCTGGAAAATCTTGGGTTATGAGAAAGATAATCAGGGAAATCATGGTGAGCATCTGAAAAAAACCTCTGTCCCAACAGAACACCCTATGTAAGTCAGGAATGCATCAGTGTTCTCTCTTGTCGCTGTTTCCATGCTGTTAGTCATGCAGAGATTTGCAGTTAGCAAATCTGACTCAAACTATGTAGAAGAGGCAAATATGTTTATTCAGTAAGTGGCTGTAGCAGGGTTTCAGATACAGAGCTGCTGAAATTGGCTAAGTCTAGCATAGCAGTAAGCTACAGTAGCACTATCAAACAGTAAATGGTGGTAGATACAGTACTCTAAGCATGAATTACCAAGAGTAAAGCAGGTATTGTTTTATAGAAATATACATACACCAATATTATTTCTTCCTCGTTTATAATATTTGACAAAATTCTAGTTTTTGCACAGTTTGTTAGTAGAGAAATTACTTTTAAACTTTGTTAGGCATATTTTTTCAGTGAATATAATTTCACAGTTGTGCAGTATACTAAGTTTGCAAAATGTCTGAAGCCAGTAAAAAATTAGCCTCAGGTTTTTGTTCATCACAAGTAAGCATAGATCTGGTGCCTGTGAGTGATGTCACATGAAAATCTTCCTATGAATAACATGAAGGTAAAAATAATCTTCCATCTTTTAGTACGCATTTGCAATTTTAGCAGCAGATGGCTCAGATACGGCAGGGTCTGGGTGTATGAATAGCAATATTGTTATTCATCATCAGCCTCATTACACCTAGGCAGGCTATCTGTGCCCTATTGCAGGCATCTTATTGTAACCTGAGAATGTTTTGATTGAGATATATTATCCTGGCTTTAATTAAGTATGTTTTAAGATGGGATTTTTGTGGGGATGATGACATCCCAAATTCTGATCCTACAGTGATTAGAGGGAGAATGAATTCATCACTACTGCATTTTGAATCCTAGCGACTTCAGACACTCATGTTACTCAAAAATCTGGATTTGTGTTTTTTTAATCTGCATATTGAATTTCAAGACTAACTGTAGACCTTGTTGATAGAGAAATTATCTGTAATCATTGGAAGGATTCCTACAAAAACAGTGACATTGCAAAGTTTTATAGATATAAGACAAAGTATCAACTTTGGAGCCTGTATATTCAGTACTGGACAAATAAGTAGTTATGGCAAGCTTAATTTAGTAGCTGTACAGAAATTGAACCAAAGAAAGAGACCTATATAACTAGAGTTGGGAGTAGCATGCTTTTCAAAGAAGATTATGAATTTATTTTGTTTGAGTTGTGCATTTTACATACAGTCAGGCAAGACTTAAAGCTTTGCGGGGAAAAATAAAGCTACTTTTTAAAAGGTAAATGATACTTTGATATGTTATTAAACTCTAAAAAAGTGTATTACAGAAATATTTGTAGTACTTTTGTGGAAGAAACAGGCAACGATCAGCACTTGGGTTTTGTAGTGACTGAAGATTCTGTGTTAGATTTTTGGACATGATTTTGCAGGAACACGCAGTGTGCATTAAGGGCAACAAACACATTAGGAAGATAGAGAAAGATAAAGGTGGAGAGGCGGGGGGAGAGAATTCCTTAATTACTGCTCAGTTCGGCCTCTGATTTTGTAAGTTATTTTATGTATTCACTGTTGCATTTTATAGGGGTCTTGGTTGGAGATGCATCATTTTAAAAAGCCTTTTAAGCATTTAAGACCTTAAGTCACAGACAATTCATGTGCTGCTGAGATGAGATTTATTAATATAAACTTGGCACATCTTCAGCAACATACAGTTTTTTCCCTGGGGAATCCAAATTGATTTCTTCCCAGTGGGCTCCTGATGAGTTTGTGTCATTGTATATAAGATGAAGAAACTTCATTCTGTTCATTTTAGGCTAATCAAGCAGGAGAGAAATGTGGTCACTTGGTTGCAGGCTGCTTAGTTATTTGTTGGGAAACTTAAATTGGTTTTAGAAATGATCGTAAGTGTTTCAGTGTCTGTCAGTATCTAGATCTGAGTTCTGTTTCACAGTTTTTATTAACAGCTTTTCTGGCTAGTACCACTGAGGAGCATCTCCTTTTTTCTTGTGTAAGCCAATAGAGGAAATCAAGCACTTCTGTAATCATAATTATGCTAATTATAAATATGATTGGCAACACAACTGGATTGCATGTTAATGGGAAAAATAGTTGAAAATGTAACTTCAAGTGGAAGTTACCCAGAACATCAATAGACGGTTTGGCATCTTTATTGGCCGCAATGGTTTTGCTTCTCGGCAAGCTAGAGCTTTCAGTTTGGTGCTCTGTCAGTGCCCTCTAAGGCGATAGGCCATGAATTCATGGCAAAATTGCAACCTATATGTCAATTGAACTGTCTGCTCTCCTCTTAATATCAGAGATGTGTAACCTGCAAAAATCCTGAATTGTGAATGCTGCTCTCACCTATTCAAATAATTTGCTTGCCCATACAAGCATAGCAAATATCCATAAATGAGTAAAGGAAAGATAGCTTGAATTTGAAATGAAGGTAGAGTTGCTTTAATTTTTTGCCAGCCTTAAAAGAGTTAGTCAAGGTTAGCAGCAAAGCCCTTCAGTTTACACGTGTGTAAATCAGAGCAGTGTATTGTGTTGAAGAGGTTGTTTATGGCAAGCACAGTTGTCCACTTCTCTTAAAACAGCTTGAATCAGAACTTTGGGGTATGACTGTGCAAAGCTAACGAATGGCTTGTAGAAGAGAAAACAACTTCTGCAAGCAAGGAAAGAAAAAAAAACCTGTCCTTCCCATCTTCCTGGCTCTAGAATCTTAAAACTTTCTTTCATTTCTGATTTAAATGCGCCATCATTGCATAGGATAACGATGGGGATTCATAGATAAAATGAGATGTACTTGTGAACGGGGCCTAAAAAGGTCTTAGAAGAGAGTCATTAATTCTATGCCAGTAATGTAATCCCTGTCTGCTGTTCACCAAGGTGTTCATACTAGATTCAGGTATTCTTTCATATTCATCAAGCAGTATGTTTTATAATGCTGTTCTCCTACTACAGCACTTCATTCTCTGCCCTTTGCATTGCTGCAAGTGGCAGAAGAACACGAGGAATTTTCTCCTACTTTCTCCTTTATTTTCCCAAGCTTGAGAACTGGAGCAGCATCCCTTCCTCTGCCCAGGGAGGTGCATTATATGTTGGTATGAGACTATGCTGCATGACTCAGATGCCACAGTTAGTCCTACCTACTCAGAAGGCGATGTTTGATGGCAGGATATGTTCTTCCAAGGACATAAATATTTTTCACAGAATCTTCAGTTTCCAGTCAGTAAGACATATTAGGTATGTTTTAATGACAACTACAGACTAGAGGAAGCTGGTGCTAAGTATTTTGCAGCTATGTAGGTAATGCCAAAAAAACCCGCAACAAACAAAGCCCTGAAGCTGAATGTCAAGTTAGAGGTAGATGTAATTGGGCCAAGTAGTAACTGAAGAAAGTGGATATAGCAGCAAGTCTCATAATACTGGAGTAGGCTTGGCTTTTACCACAAAAAAACTTCATTTGGACTCATAACTAAAAATATCACTGCTGTGTGTGTACTCGTTTCAGCTCAGAATGAGCCTTTAGTGGAAATACGATCTTCCAAAATTCCCTTGTGTTTTTTAACCACACAGAATCCTGGAACCCTCAGAGGTGATGTGGATACATAGAACAATGCAAATTTTATGTAGTCACACAAAGTACATGACCAAAATGCATTCCGAAGATAAATAATACAGATACAGATGTCCCCCTCTGCTAGGATGTAAGAAATCAAAAACGTAGTTCTAAAATGCAATGGGCAAAAGCTGTGTTTTCAATTTAAAGTGAGATCTGGGAGCATGTCAAGAATAAATGAAATGGTGAGATTAAGCAAGACTATGGGATAAATACTGTGGTTCAAATATAAAGGCTTCAGTGACAATGTCAGATGCCTGAAGGCAAGAGTGAAGGACAGAAAAGATCAGGGTTATAAATAGTTTACATAAATTGAAGAAATAAGTCTAAGAACTCCAGAAAAGCATAAGATGAAATAGCAAAGAGTACAGAAAAGGCAGTGAGATTTGAGGAGTGAAATAGACAAGATAATAAGCAACCAACAACCACAAAGTTGGAGGTCATTGAGGGGAGGGAAGACGATTGGAGCTGGAGGCTTGAAAGGCAGGAGCAAGACAAAAGAAAATGGGAGGTATTTTGAAGTAGAGTGAAATCATGCAAAGCAGCATTTACCATTTAAAACTAAAGATGAGTACAGACCAAAGTCATGAGTATTGCTTTGAAGTGCCCGAATGTTAGAAAAAATGTTAGAAAATGTAGAGAAGACCAGTGAGTTTCAGAATAAGAGCTGCTATAGGGAACCTGCTTTGGCAGGGGGGTTGGACTCGATGATCTCTGGAGGTCCCTTCCAACCCCTACGATTCTGTGATTCTGTGATTCTGTATCTGACCCAGTTACTTGAAACCAACGCTGTCTTTATAAAACAGGAAAAACA